TTGTTGGGTTTTCTTTCATGGGGAGAGCAGCCAGCAGTGTGTTCATAGCAAAATTTCCATTCAAATTTGAAGTGTCCCAAACAAAACCCTTTAAAAAGAATATTATATCTATGGTGAAGTATACTTGAAATTTGGCCTACTAGTTGCCAGAATTAAATTTATGGTTGCCACTACTGACCTAGAGCAGGGAAGAATGGGAGCTGGGCTTCAGAGTCTTTGTGGGGTCCATAGGAAGAACACATTGGTGGAGGAAGAGGGGGACATGGGCAGGAACTGCAGAAGCAAAGAAAGCTGAAGTTAACATATTTATTTGATATATCAAGTCAGGCATTTGGCTGCAAAGTTCTAGTTGCAGAAAAATGTGTCTAATACAGACATACCTTGGAAATATTGTGGGCAGAGTTCCAGACCACCACAATAAAGTGAGTATCGCAATAAAGCAAGTCACACACAGAAAAATTTGTTCCCCAATGCACAAAGTTACACTATACTGTATACTATACTGTGTAGTCCATTAAGCCAGGCCCCCCCTGGCTGCAGGTGTGGAAGTGGGAAAACCTGGATTCAGCCCTAGACAGCTCCACTCCTGTGGCTAGAAGGGAGGGAGCAGGGGGCTTCCTTCCCCTGGAAGCAGCTGGGCTGCTTGCAGCTGCACCCACCTCCTACTAAGAAGCAATACAGTGGTACCTCAGGTTAAGTACTTAATTTGTTCCGGAGGTCCGTACTTAACCTGAAACTGTTCTTAACCTGAAGCACCACTTCAGCTAATGAGGCCTCCTGCTGCTGCCGCGCTGCCGGAGCATGATTTCTGTTCTCATCCTGAAGCAAAGTTCTTAACCTGAAGCACTATTTCTGGGTTAGCGGAGTCTGTAACCTGAAGCGTATGTAACCAGAGGTATCACTGTAGCTGCAAAGCACATCGAAGCAAAGTGCAGTTAAGTGTGGTATCGTCCATTCTGGGGACATGACATGAGCGTAGCCAGGATTTTTGTTGGTGGGGCAGAACCTCAGTTAGTTAGTTATTTTATTTATTTATGGGGGCAACTGCCCCCCGCCCCACTTGGCTACGCCCATGGGACATGACCAATAATTTAAAATATTAGAGATTAGAGCTGGTTATCACTGAGCATCAGTAACACAGCCCATTCCGTTGTTATTATCATCATTATTATTCCTTGCCCTTCCTCCAAGGAGTTCATGGTTCTACTTCCTGTTATCCTCACCACTAAGTCCAGTGAGACTAACTCCAAGGTAAATGTGTTGTTGTTATTGTTGTTGTTACATGAAGAGACGTGCAACTTCAGCCTGAAATGTTCATGAATGCTTAATTTTGAGAAAGTGCTGCAGAATATTGGCATACCTCTGAGAAAACAACAACCAAACTGTTAGGCCCTTTTGTGGAAAAGTTCTTGGTATCAGGTAAACAAGTTTTGCAATATTATGTTGGAGAATTATTTTAATTATTTTAATAGATACATAATTTCTTGTTGACATACTGCAAACATCATAATTTATGCTGTGTTAGAATCTCTGCTCCTTCAAATGATTCCTATACAATAAATGCAATTATGCATTGATCCCAAAGGATGAGAATTTCATAAACTGTTAGTATTATGATAGAACTATAGAGCTGGAAAGGACCCAAGGATCATCTAGTCCAACCCCCTGCAATACAGAAATCTCAACTAAATCACATCCGTGACAGATGGCCACCCAAGCGCTGCTTAAAAGCCTCCAAGGAAGGAGAGTCCACATCCTCCGGAGACCATTCCACTGTTGAACACCTCTTACTATCAGAAAGTTGGAATCTCCTTTCTTGTAACTTGAATCCATTGGTTCCAGTCCTCCCCTCCAGAGCAGAGGGCAGGGGCAAGAGCTCATCAAAAATATATTTATTTTGGTGGGATCCTTGGAAGCAACATGAAGCATGTTCCAGATCATATTTATGCCACGTTATGCTTCCACCATCAAGCAACATTGTCAGTTGTCAGAATATGACCTCAAGTATCATGGCTTTATCTATCTTCTAAGGTTCTCCAAGAGATGGCAGGGGGACCCACAGGGTCAGTGGATAGAGGTAATAGGGTAGGCAAGTGGTTTTCAGCCAGTGTACTGTGGCACCCATGAGCGCCTTGAATGCTGGTCAGGGGTGCCGTGGGCAACATTGGCCTCTGTCCCTCTTTCCTTCCCTCCCTCCTCCTCTGATGCCCTCTCGCATCTCTGCCTCCCAAAGACTTCTGTGGCTGTTTGTTGCAGCAGCCCTGGCTACAAGCTCCCCAGACGAAGGTGCCTCTGGGGCTGTCCATGGGGTGCTGCTTGGCAGGGGGTTGGACTCGATGGCCCTTGTGGTCTCTTCCAACTCTATGATTCTATGATTCTATGATTCTATGATTCTATGCTGGTTGCCAGGAGCTGAGGTGGCCTCGGAGTAAGCAAGCAAATGGGTGAGGGAGCCCAGCCAGCCAGCCCACCTGTCGTGGTCCTGTGCTGCCAGCCACGGCAGACCTCAGTGGAGGGAGAAGCCGGCCAATCAGCCAACTCTCAGGGGGGTGCTTTCCTGGAGGCAGTGTCCATATACAAGGTCCAGTCCAGTCCCAAGATCAGAAGTATCTCAGTTCATGTAGTCAGACGATCCAGGGGTCAAGAAAGCCGAGGGTCACGAGGAGCACAAAGCAGCAAGGTCTGGTCAGGAACCAGGAATGTTGTTTCCAGCAACTGACTGAGGCTGGAAATCCTGCTTCAGAAAGCTGGAACCAGCTGGTTCTCATCAGGAGCAAGAAGGCTGATCAGCAGAAGGTGGAGTCACTTTGCCTTCTGCTCCCTTCAGGCTGCTGCTCAGCAGGTGAAGCCGACTCCTGGCCTGTGATACCACCAGCCCTTGCTGTTGGGAACAGACGGACAAATGGGAGGCTGGGCAGGCGCCTTGTTGGCTTTTCTTGTGCTTGCTGTGTGCGATGCCTCCCTGGGAGTTGAGTCTCCCGCACCAAAGGGGAGTCTTTCTGCCATGCCGGCCCAGCAGTATCCACTGCTGCCTCCCAGGGTGATTAAGCTGCTGGCCTCACATTCACCTTTGGCCAGTATCTGTCAGGGCAGCTAAGGCTGGGGGAATCCTCTTCCCGGCCCCCGGGGTGTGTGTGTGTGTGGAGTGAGGAGGAACCTCTCGTTGGGGTGGTGGTGGGGGGTTTGCTCAGAGACCAGGGGCTGCCAGGAGGAGAGGAGGCTGAGGGAACACTCCACAAGGGAGGGTGTTCAAAAAGGGGTGAAGGGCTGCCAGCTCCTGCAGGCAAGGGGTGACATAACTGGGCTTCTGAGACTTGGAGCACATTTCCCCACAGGGGAGCAGCAGAAAGAACATTGTTGGTCTGGGGTTTTCTGCCTGATTTAATATACTTCACCTTGAGCCTCAGGACACAGCCAGGCTCTGCCCTCTATGAAGTACCATCACTTAGCCAGAAATGCTGTAATCTTTCACTCCACCCCCTTGATTATTTCGGTCACCCTTTTTTCATGTTGAGGGTGTCACTTCTTTACCTGTGAATGTCAAAGATGGGGCATGAATGTGCAGGAGGTTTTAGACTTTTATTTCTGCTACATTCAAAACTTTCAGACAAAAGTTGTTTTCTTTAGGGCGATGAGGTACAGAGGAGGCCAGGAATTATTAATTTAATAGGTAGAACAGGGAATCTTGGCTCCAGCTTGTCAAGAAGATGTAAAAGCTGTATCTGAAAAAACACACAATTCTTTCATCTACAAAATGATTAAAAGGGAGCAGAACAGGAAACATATTCTTTTTTGCAACTGGCAAACCCTAAGGAAGCATTTCACTTTCATAACAAAAAACATACACATAAACATCACATTTCTGTATCTCCTAAGAGGCACAGATTCAGATTAGTGCCTTCTTTTTTGCCTTCTTCGCCATCATAAAACATCCATATATAAAAATTTAAAATATATACAAATAAACAGCCACATAAAATATATAATAAGGATTTCTATTGGCCATCCTGGCTAGTAGGCATCAATAGCCCTCTTCTCCTCTATGCATTTGTCTAAGCCTCTATCGCTGCCTCCTGCAAGAGTGAGTTCCACAGTTTAACTCTGCACTGTTTGAATTAGAATAATAGAATATAGAATATTAGAGCTTGAAGGGTCCCGAGGGTCATCTAGTCCACCCCCCCTGCAATGCAGGAATCTGTGGTGCCCAGAACTGGGCACAGTATTCCAGGTGTGGTCTGACTAAGGCAGAATAGTGCTGCTATTACATCCCTTGATCTATACCGACAAGACTTTTGTTGATGCAGCCTAGAATAGTGTTAGCTTTTTTTGCTGCTCCATCACCCTGTTGACTCATGTTCAGCTTGGGGTCCAGCGAGACCCTAGATCCTTTTCACATGTGCTGCTGGTAAGCCAGGTGTTCCCCAACTCATATTTGCGCACCCGGTTCCTCCTGCCTAAGTGCAGAACCTTCCATTGGTCCCTCTTGAAATTCACTTTGTTAGCTAGCGCCCAGTTCTCCAATCTGTTCAGGTCCTATTGATTTCCGCTTCTGTCTTCTGGGCATCAGCTCCGCCTCCCAGCTTGAGCCCCCCAGCAGCTTAGAAGGACACTGTCCTTTCTTTCCTCTCTCCTGCGTCTTCCAGAGCTCAGCTTCCGGGGCCCACGAGGGAGGAAGAAAGCCCTCCTCGCCGCCAGGCGCCCCTCTCGGGAGGGAAGCGGGCGAGCAGACGCGCCGCTCTGGCAGCGCCGCCTCCTCTATGGCTCGCCACTCCCACTTCCCACCCTGCGTCATTACGCAGCCGCGTCTCGCGCGCTGGGACGCCCCTCCTCCGTCTTGCTGGGCGGAGGACGGAGACGAGCGGGACTACAGCTCCCGAAATGCACTGGGCTGGCCGGACACGCCCGCCGCCGCCGCCGCCCCAACCCGCCTCCCTCTCCGCCCCTCGGGGCAAAGAGCGTCACCAGCAGGAGCCGGAAGCGGCGTGTGATGGCGGCGGCGGCGGCGGCGGGCGGGCGGCCCCCCCGGGGGGCGAGGGCCTAGGGCGGGCGGGGCTCCGGAGGCCTTGTCCCTCGCGGGCGGGGCTGGGCTGCACCCATGGACGACAGCAAAGTAAGCGGAGGCGCCGCGTCGAGCGGGGGGCGGGGGCGGCCCTTCTCCGTCCCGGGAGGCGGTGGCGGGCCGAGGAGCTGCTGGACGACCCCTCTCGTCCCCCGGCCCCGGGCCTGAGAGCTGGGCGTCGTGGGAGTTGTAGTCCAGCAGCTGCTCCCCCCCCCCCCGAGGAAGGCGACTGGAAGGCAGGGAGTCTCTCCAAGCCATGGGATTATTATTATATACCAAATGTGTGTATGCCTTAATCCCAGGGTTGTCAACCCTTTCGGCCCTGCGTGCCCACTTGCGGGTGTCACAGGCACTCTGCTCTCTGCAACGTGTTTTGTTGGTACAAGCCCCAGGCAGCAGGAGCGCAGTCGAGGCAGAAACATTCTCAAACCAAATTCTGCCCGTTTGTTTTCTGTCCTGTTATAAATTTTGTAAGAACCACCATGGAGAACTCTTCCTGATACTGCCCTGACCGAAGTAAAATGTGTTTCTGCTTTCTAGGTAGCTGGAGGGAAAGTGAAGAAACCAGGGAAACGGGGCCGTAAACCAGCCAAAATAGATTTGAAAGCTAAACTTGAGAGGAGCCGGCAGAGCGCGAGAGAATGCAGGGCAAGGAAGAAGCTGAGGTACCAGTACCTGGAAGAGCTGGTTTCAAGCAGAGAGAGAGCCATATGTGCTCTTAGAGAAGAGCTGGAAATGGTAATATGCTTTTTCTCTTTTCCACCTTACCCCCAGTTTTGAGTCAGTTCTTTGGGTCTAGAGCATATTAACAGCTTCTGAGTTGTGTGCGTTCATGCAAGTACAGCCATACCTCTTGTTGCGTTTGCTTCAGGTTAAATCTTTTCAGGTTGCGTCCCACAGCGACCTGGAAGTAACGGAACGGGTTACTTCCGGGCCTCGCCACTCGCGCATGCACAGGCGCGGGTTGTGTTCTGCTCATGTTGCGAACGGGGCTCCAGAACGGATCCCGTTCGCAACCAGAGGTACCACTGTATGCTGTTTTCCCCTGTGGCCAATGTCATGTCCACAGGATCTCTGCTTAGGTGTCTGAGAGCAGGGAGTTGCCACTCTCTACTTGGAAATGCTTACATGCCTGAAGGCATGTCCTGTTCAAGGAAGAGAACAGAAAACTCGTACAGGATATGATTTTTAAGATATTTTTATTATTACCCAGTTTTCTTATGACAGCTGATTTGAAAACTCTTTATTGAAAGGCAGAATGTAATTACTGTAGCCGAGTAAGGGTTGTTGGGACAGAAAAGTGAGATGCCCTGTACATCAACAGAGTTGTGTGTACTTAAACAAACAAACAAATCCAAATTAAACTCCAATAAAAGTTTGACACTATTTAAATTAAGCAGATTTCCCAGGTTTATTGATTTTTTTGTCATCCTTTATTCTGCCATTTTTGCCACTTGGCAAGGAACTTCGCAGGACACTGAAAATATGGCCCTTGACCAAGAAGAAAATCTTGCCAAGTGACCAACAGACAAGCAATCAAGAGAAGAACTTGCTGCAATGCCACATAGCCCTGCTGATGAACATTTCCACACCCTCAGTCCAGTAATCTCACATGTACAACTGCAGAATTCTCTTTTTTAAAAATAAGATTTTATTAAAGTTTTTCCTAAAACAGGAAAAGGAAAGAAACTAATCTAAATAAAAACAAAAATAAACAGAGAAAGAGAGAACAAAACAAAGGAAAACCAAAAAAAGAAGAAAAGAAAAGATGAGAAGAAAAATAAAAGGGACTTCTGATTTTCCATCTGTCAGTTAAACAAAACAAAATATTCACTCTAGAATGACACCAAGCTGATCTACCTTCTGTTAGGCAGTATCTCCCCAATCTTCCAACCCAAATAGATTAATTCATCTTCCTTTTTACATAAAAAGACCAAAAGAGACTCTTCATTATTAATAAATGTCAACACTTCCGGGGAGGAACATGGCAGACGAACGTCTTCCTCAAGCAACTTCCCGATAGAACTAATTACATGCTGATTGCTGATAGCCATGGCTTTAATCTCTGCTATTGAACAACAGAACTCTAATGATCACAACTGAAAGTAAAAAAGTTCAGCCCTCTGCTTTTGCAATCCAGTTTATTTTTATGTTTGTGTTTTTAGTACAAGCAGTGGTGCTTAGCAATGGATCAAGGGAAAATCCCCTCTGAAATTAAAGCTCTGCTAAGCGGGGAAGAGCAAAGCAAACCACAGCAGAACTTGGCCAAGGTTGGCAAGGCTTCAAAGATGGATGCAAACAGTCACAGTTCCTGTAAGTACTAGTTTATGAAGGTTCTTATGGCTACGAGAGTAGACCAAGATGTGCAGATGGGGAAGAGGGGTCATATAGTCTTACTGTTAAGTGCCTCAAGTGCTACACACTGTACAGCAACTTACATTTAGAAAGAACATACCTACCTGGAGGCTTATTAATAGGGTAATGTGAAAATAACAGCATAGGTCCATCACAAAATCATGGATTGTCCTGTGAGCACCCTGGCTGAGCAGATGTGAAGGAGAAGCTGTTTGAGTGCCTTTCTCTTTGTTAGCCATTCCCTTTTTTATTAGTTTGTGAACCTGCGGGGAGGCCAACTTATTTTTTAACTCATTCACAGAGCTTAGAAAATTCCAGGTGCTTTCTTAAGGGCTTATAAAAATGGGTCGAGGGACAGGGTAGCTCAAGGTCTACCTTTTCCTGTCTTCTTGGTCTCCGTGATCGGTCTCAGAGGCCTTTCTGGTGAGCTGGGCAGGGACCTGTGATATGGCATTTTCAGTTTCCGACACCTGGACTCCCAGTGCCCCTGCCTGATGTCTTCTGAGGTGAAGACCTTTTTATTTGCCCTGACCTTCTAGGTCCAGTTTTTATGTATCGGTTTGTCTGACTGCCCCTGGTTTTCTAACCATGGATTTGTTATTTCTGTGTACAGGTGAAACTCAGAAAATTAGAATATTGTGGAAAAGTTCATTTATTTCAGTAATTCAACTTAAAAGGTGAAACTAATATATGAGATAGACTCATGACATGCAAAGCGAGATATGTCAAGCCTTTATTTGTTATAATTGTGATGTTTATGGCGTACAGCTGATGAAAACCCCAAATTAACAATCTCAGAAAAGTAGAATATTAAATGAAATCAGCAAAACAAGGACTGCAAATAGAGCAATATTGGACCTCTGAGAAGTAGAAGCATGCACATGTACTCAGTACTTGGTTTCGGCCCCTTTTGCATCAATTACTGCCTCAACGCAGCGTGGCATGGATGCTATCAGCCTGTGGCACTGCGGAGGTGTTATGGAAGACCAGGAAGCTTCAATAGCAGCCTTCATCTCTTCTGCATTGCTCGGTCTCATGTCTCTCATCTTTCTCTTGGCAATGCCCCATAGATTCTCTATGGGGTTCAGGTCAGGTGGGCTTGCTGGCCAATCAAGCACAGTAATCCCATGGGCATTGAACCAGGTTTTGATACTTTTGGCAGTGTAGACAGGTGACAAAGTCCTATTGGAAAATGAAATCAGCATCCCCATAAAGCTCGTCTGCGGAAGGAAGCATGAAGTGCTCCAAAATCTCCTGGTAGACGGCTACGTTGACCCTGGACTTAATGAAGCACAGTGGACCAACACCAGCTGATGACATGGCTCCCCAAATCTCTTTTCTGATGAGAGCAGCTTTTGCATCTCACTTGGAAACCAAGGACCCAGAGTCTGGAGGAAGAATGGGGAGGCACACAATGCCAGATGCTTGAAGTCCAATGTGAAGTTTCCACAGTCTGTGTTGATTTGGGGAGCCATGTCATCAGCTGGTGTTAGTCCACTGTGCTTCATTAAGTCCAGGGTCAACGCAGCCATCTACCAAGAGATTTTGGAGCACTTCATGCTTCCTTCCGCAGACAAGCTTTATGGGGATGCTGATTTCATTTTCCAGCAGGACTTTGTCACCTGCCCACAGTGCCAAAAGTACGAAAACCTGGTTCAATGCCCATGGGATTACTGTGCTTGATTGGCCAGCAAACTTGCCTGACCTGAACCCCATAGAGAATCTATGGGGCATTGCCAAGAGAAAGATGAGAGACATGAGACCGAGCAATGTAGAAGAGCTGAAGGCTGTTATTGAAGCTTCCTGGTCTTCCATAACACCTCAGTAGTGCCACAGGCTGATAGCACCCATGCCACGCCGCATTGAGGCAGTAATTGATGCAAAAGGGGCCCAAACCAAGTACTGAGCACATATGCATGCTTCTACTTCTCAGAGGTCCAATATTGCTCTATTTGCAGTCCTTGTTTTGCTGATTTCATTTAATATTCTAATTTTCTGAGATTGTTAATTTGGGGTTTTCATCAGCTGTACACCATAAACATCACAATTGTAACAAATAAAGGCTTGACATATCTCGCTTTGCATGTCATGAGTCTATCTCATATATTAGTTTCACCTTTTAAGTTGAATTACTGAAATAAATGAACTTTTCCACAATATTCTAATTTTTTGAGTTTCACCTGTATGTGCACCCTTCTCCCTTTGGTAGCCACTATATGGGAAGCTTTTGCCTGAAGAGTAGGGTGCAGACCCCTCAAATTAAAAATAGAAGGCTAATTATGTGGTGGAGGGGAAGTGAGGCCACAGTGTGAAGCCAGGTTGGATGGCTTATGAAGCAGCTCAATACTTATTCAATTCATTGAATTCCGTCCATACATTCAACTGAAAGTCCCCAAGTCTTGAGCAATGAAGCAATGTACACCCTTAAGTAAACTTGCCTTCTATGCTTCATGTAAGGCCATTGTCTTAACATCTTGTGGTTGCATCTTGTCTTTGTCACTTATTTGCTGGTGGCATCAATCTGTAGGATTGGGAATGTTATTCTGTCTTTTGTCCAGCAAATTTTCTAGTCAGTACCTAAGCAACACTTACATGTAAGTTCTTGTTTTGCCTAGCCAATTACAGGTTCTTTAATGGATCTTTGATAGACAATAAAACACTTATTGAGGGGAAAACTTTTGTTTGAACAAAATAAACTTCTAATGTAAAACTTCCCCAATCAATGAACCACTCTCTTACACATAAAAACAATCCCAAATAAACTGTCCCCACAAGACCTTCACCCAGACAAACCAGATACAGCATCAGATCACCAAATTTCTTGTTCCAGCCATGGGGAGCCCCTGGAGCAGTTGTGTCTGGTCCGTGATGCAGCAACATCAACTATGTTGTCCTGTACCCAAGCTCTGCATCATTTATACCTGCCAACCCCAACCAGGCAGGGCTGGCTCCTTCCACGGCTGCTACCTGTGGTGATTAGGGCTCCTTCTGGTCCCATAATCTGGGCAATTGAGCTCCGGCTGGGACACCCACAAGGTCAGGAGTGCTCCTGTGAGGACTTATGGCCTTAAAGGAAAGGTTGATTGCGCAAGGCCAATCTTACGCCTCACAGTGGGTTACTAGACAGAATATAAAAGCCTCTTTGCTTTTCTGCAGTCCTAAGCCATGACTTGGCTTAGCATGGTGTTTGAACCCGGTTTCGTTCTCCAAGGCAAACCACCACCATTGGAAAAACCTGCGTTTGGGTTACAGGGTGTGGTTAATGTGTGGAAAGTTAACCCAGGAGCCTGTGTTTGAATGACATGCCAAGCAATGATTTAGTACAGCAGAATGACCCAAAGGAGGAGCAAATCAGCCATTATTTCCTCTCTCAGAGCACATGCATTCATACTAAGATACAGTTTTAGCTTCACATGTTGTGCAAGCCAGACCACTACATGCTTGGTGGGTTGTATTTTGAACTGAGCGAAGGCAGAGGGGTCATCAGGATTACAGTGGTGCCTCGCAAGACGAAATTAATCCGTTCCGCGAGTGTCTTCCTCTAGCGGTTTTTTTGTCTTGCGAAGCAACCCTATTAGCGGATTAGCGCTATTAGCGGTTTAGCGGCTATTAAAGGCTTAGCGGCTTAGCTGCTAAAAGGCTATTAGCGGCTTAGCGGCTTAGAAAAAGGGGGGGGGGAGCGAAAAAAAATCTCAAGACTCGCAAGACATTTTCGTCTTGCAAAGCAAGCCCATAGGGAAATTCGTCCTGCGAAGCAACTCAAAAACGGAAAACCCTTTCATCAAGCGGGTTTTCCGTCTTGCGAGGCATTCGTCTTGCGGGGCACCACTGTATCTCACTCCTACAGAAACTGAGTCACTGGCAAATGGCTCTTTAACCTTCCATCAGATAATTTAATGCTGGCTATAACAAATGTAGATAAGATTTCTTGGCTGACTGGTTGAAATTGTGAATAGCTATAAAATATTGTTGTATTTTATTTCTCTTTCAGGGTGAAGGTGGAACAGCCAAGATCAAAGTCCCTATTTTATACTACCAACACTGATTTGTAGTCTTTATGCTAAGCTTCCCTTCCACTATGATGTGTGGCAATGCTGCATCAGCAAAGAACTTGATCGTTGAGGTGAATTACCAAAATAACCCAATGGCAAGCCAACAGAATTAAACCTACAACTTAAAAAAACCCCCAGTTTGTTATATAGATATAGAAACTACAACTTACGTGTATGTAGATATTTCTGCTGTGACAGTGAAGGAAATTTCCGAACTTGCTGTTATAATTGCTCATGGTTTATGTGTTGGATTTTTCTGTTTAGTATTCATAGGAGTGGCTATTTAAGAAACCATGTGCAGCAAAGGCTGAGATCTTGGCCATCTGGCATCAAAGTAGTCTGTTATGTGTATGGTATTTATCTGTGGTCCATGTTGTAATAATAATTCCAGTTTCCTATGGTGGGCTGCAAATATGTAATGGGTTTACACTTCTGTTATTTCTGACCTAGTGCAGCATTGTGGCTGAGAATAGGAGGTTCCTGGTTCAAATCTCGCCTCTGCCATGAATTCCCTTAGGCAAGGCAATTCAGAGTGATCATACTGACTTTCTTTCTACAGGGTTGTTTTAAGCATACAAGCGCTATCATGTCTGTGAGATGCTTTTTGCGTACATTCCTATGCAAAACTCCCTGCAGACAAAAAACTAGCACAGGTGCAGGTGGGAATGGGCTGTTCTGCTAGGTGTGTGCTTGCTTTTTTGGTAGTAAGGAACCAATCAAAAACAGTATGTCCCACCTACTGTCTATAGTGCTAAAGTCCTTCTGTCACCTCAGTCTGCCACCTGTGTAGACCAGGCCTCAGTCAATGTTTCCCAAACACTTGACAGGCAAAGAACTGTAAATAAGTGTATTGTTAAATCAAGCTTGAAGGGAGACTTTCCATTCTTTTTCAAAAAGATATCTCTGTTTGCAGAATTAATGGACAGGCATTCTCCTTGCAGTTCCAGTTAACATGGCTTCCCACCCTCCCTTTTGCCCAGTCAGCCAGGGATCGGGGATGGCACTGTGTTGGCTGGGTCATGCCAGCACTCCTGGGATTCTCCCACACCCACCAGCTCTGGGGCAAGCTCCATTAGCAGCCCCCTGTGTCCCATTTCTCCTTTGGGATGATGTCACTGTCCACTTATTGGCAGAGAGCAGGGGAAGGCAGCCCCACACAGGATCGCTCTGCACTGAGCAGCATGAGAGTGGTGGTGAAGATGTCCAACATAGTGGCTTAAACGTACCTTTATAAAAATGGAGCCATGCTTGTGAGCCCTATTCCCACAGTTGGTGAATTGCTGTTCTATGCCACAGTCAGGCCTCTGGGCCATCCTCCTCCCATTCAGGCATGCCACATGCCGGCACTCCTTAAGGCTCCCCTACTGCAGGCCTACCCAGCCACGGATTAATTTGACCTATTAAATTAAATCTTTCAAGGGTTCATTGTTTTGTGACATGAGATGGCCCTTTTTACACCCAAGTGAAACTATCTCCTTGAAAGTAAAATGCTGCTGGAGTGTATCTGAACAGGCACCCTTTTGCTTTAGACTTCTTTAGCTTGTGTAACTGTGTGCCTGTTTGGAACCTGCTTATTGATGCTATCATTGAGTCAAAACCTAATGCATTATTCCTTGCTTCCTCAACGCACCCAAGGAGCAGCTGAATGGGAATGGGGTGGGATGGCATTTCTCACCTGGCTGGCTGACAGCTGGAGAAAGAGAGGAAGAGAAATGGTCTGCCTATCTCTCATCACATTGACTTTGCTCTTGCTGAAGTGACTTCATTAGTGGGACCGCGCATAAATTAACAAGAGGGTGAACTGGGGTGGGGGGGCGTATTTTAGGCAGCATGTTGAGTAGACGTATTATAAGAGGCTGACTCCATGCAGGGCTTTTGATGCAGGATGCCCTGCAGACTCCATTTAGAGCAGAGCTTTCCAAACTTTTCATGTTGGTGACACACTTTTTAGACATGCATCATTTCGCGACACAGTAATTCAGTTTTACTAGCAAACTCGAGGTCAAACTAACCCCTTATAAGATCGTTCACGTGACACACCTACACATTAATGTGTTGTGACACACAGTTTGGAAAGCTCTGATTTAGAGTCTGACTGTAGCATTGTGCATCAGAAAGGGAAAATTTAATCTCTTTCAGCTTGATGTCTTGGATCACTCACATATATTTGCTGTGAAGAAAACACTTAAATTCTTGTAAGACTCCCAAGTCTGTCCTTTTTTGTTTTATATTAAAGTGGATGTAACTTCAAACATTTGTTCACTTTTTATTAGCAGGGGTAACAAAAAGCTCTTCATAGGGTGGGGGCAGAAAGAAGGACTGTGTTGAACACTGTCCTCTGCACTTCAGGGCCAGAACAGCTATGACATTAAGTGCTTTTAGTATATTCCTGCCCTGCCCTGTCCCACCCCTTAACAAGGGTGTCAATGAAAGCTCCCATCTTGGGTCAAATGTGGGAGGGGAGGTTTTGGTGGAACTGGCAGAGGTGTAAAAGCGTTAACCCCACTTCCCCAATACACTCTAGTCTGAACTTTGTTTGCCTTCGTCATGGTGACTGTTATTATTTAAGGGAAATTCAGCTCATTAAATGCATTCACGTGTTTAAAGTTACATATTTTGGGGCTTTCATACATTGGCCCATCTTGTGTAAGAGATTGAAGGCAGGTTTTCTTACCCATCTAAGGGTGTCCTCTAGTATAGCACTTTGCACATCTTAGTCGCCATGCTTCTTTCTTGTGCAGGGAAAAATCTAGGGCTGTAGGAAGGTTTCCTCGTTAACTCTCAGTGAAGGCTGGATCTCAGGGTTCCAGGATCCAGGGAAGTTAATATGTGATGCACAAAGGCTTCTTCACTAGATGTACTAATATGAATGACAAGAACGCCCAGTGGGAGATATCTGAGAGCCCATAGAAAGTTGTGCATACCAGTTAACATGACTGGGCTCCATTAAAATAAATGAAAGCTACATAGGTGCTATAAATCAACGAATGAATGGATTCTGATAAGTAGAAGGTCACAGGAATAGACCACATTACCCACATTGATGAAGAAATGATGGGGAATAGCATCCATGTCTGTCGTGAATCAATGCGTTGGACAATGGGAAGCTGTGTCCTGCTGTGGCAGAACTAAGAGGCACCCCCCCCCCTTTCCTTCACATGTGTAAAATGTGAAAGGGGGTTTCTCTTCCCTAGGCTGGGCGACTCCCTAGCTGAAATAATTAAAAAAACAACCTTGGAGGCATCTTACCAAGGTAGCACCCAGCCTCCCCAGACTACAACATCTATACTTGACTGGTTCAGTCAGCATAGGATAGTCATTAATTCAGGGTTTACATTGTGCCTGCAAAGCCTAGAATGTGTAGAGCGGAACTATGAATTTCTTTAGATCCTATTATAATTTTATTAGGATTCTTAGAAGAAATTGGATCAGAAGAGGAATTGATTTATTCCTTCCCCTATTTTCATAACCTACTATTTGGCTTAACATATTTCAAGCTTGCCTTTTGTCAAAGTAAATCCAAGGGCAGGGTACAAACAATAAAATACCCTCCCCCCAAAGCATAAGAAAAAACTAATGTGCTTTAAGGAGGTGCTGCAATGAAAAAAAGGTCAGTGGTGGCTTTCTTTTTCTTCTTTTTAAAATTAAATAAACATTTATTCAAAAGTATACAGCTTTGTCCACTGCCATAATATCACAAAATGATCACTCCGATTCTCAATCCCACATCACTGGCATGTTAGCTTGCCAAATAGGAACCCAACTACAGATCAGGTGGGCTAGACATTTTCAATCGATATATCCCCTCCACAAACACCTCTGTGATGACGGTGGCATTAAAATATCCTGTTCTTTAATAAAAGAGAAAAAGGGAGACCAGATCGTGCCAAAGGTATCTTTTTTGGAGATGCCTTTGATTAGTTGTGGCAGCCTTACTTCAAAGGATGTCTATAACGGTGACATCAAGGTCCCATGTCACGAGGCTCTGACAATCCTTCTGCTAGAAGCCCCCATTTCACAGGTCCATTGTCCTCAAAATGCATAGGCCTTGTGTACAGATGCGACCTCCCAGGAGTGGGAGTTAGACAGGGCCACAGATGCCCACTCCGCTATATGACCACAGCTGCATAGCCATCTGTGCAGGCATTTCCCTAGCCTTTGTCATAGGACCACAATTCTCAGAGATCCTCCCATGTTTAAACTCAGAACGGATCTGGCTTTACTTAAGGAGTAGCTGCAAGTCAAATGCATTTAGCAAGTTTTATTGTCAGTGTAGATTATTACTGGGATGGGGGAAAGGAAGCAGTGCACTAGCGTTTCATGCCAATGTGTGTGCATTTACATGCTTACACACTACAGTCAAGATGCATCCTCTCGCTTAACTTCTAGATTGGGAAAGGGTGAAAACCACTTGACTCTAGATCTCTTAAAAGGCTCCCCAGCATATCCCCCAAAGGCATAATAGAAGAGACATAACAAGATGGTCTGTCTTTAGCAGGACACTTGTGCTGTGAAGTAATTGATGAGTTTACTGCTTTTTACATTAACAGTTCAATCTGCAGTACTCCCATCAGTTGAAAAATAAATTTAAATTCAGAGAGCATGAAATAGTTATTTAAAACAAAAACAGAAAACATCCAGTATACAATAAATCAGTGGATTTAAGAAAACATTTATTCTCCCTGCCAAATTGTATGCAAACCCGCCCCCCAGCTCAAAATAGATCAAATCTTTTCATAGTTCTTTGCTCCAATTGTGCAAATAATTGTTGAAAGGACTGGAATTAATCAGAGAAATGTATTTGTTGGGTTTGAATTAATAGGCCAGGCAAGCTTCTTCTCTTTTGCTTCTCTATCAAATGAATCATATATGGAGTCTTTGGAAACAGTTTTGGCTGGCGCAGGGATTTCAGAGATCCCAACATAATTTTTTTTGGCTATCTTTGAACTGGTGGTGATGGTATATGCATTGCTCCGGTAGCATTTCATAGAGGACATGCAGAAGATCTCTTTCATCCCTCTCCTGAAGTTTGCATTATACACAGAGTACAATGTAGGCTTTGAAGCAGAGGAACTAAAGGATATCCAAGTGACTGACATAAAGACCAAGGAGCTCTTTCTGTAGTCTGTCTCAAGTGGATGCCAAAGTTGAACCACATAAAATGGGAGCCACGAGAGCAGAAAAAGCAAATTTAACATTAGGAACATCTTGATAGTTTTCACCTTTGTCCTCGGAACTATATTCATAGTCCTCCGAACTGTCCTACCATCTGTACCTATCCGCCAAATATATTTTATTACTTTTTGGTAAAAAAGGATGATCAGAACAGATGGAATCAGAAAAGCCACCAACATATGGATGGTACCATAAAGAGCCCCGTCCCAAGAATATGGCAGGAAAAAGTTGCAATGGTTGTCCCAACCTGACCCAAAAAAGAAGAAAGCTGGAGACACTAGTGCGGCATCGAAGATCCAAGATGCTGCAATCATTTTCTTGGCTTTTCCCCGGGACACCTTGAAACTTAGCGGGTAGACAATAGTATAGAATCTGTCAACACAGATGGAAAGCAACACGTAGTTCTGGACACCAGGTATGAGATACTGAAAATATCTTACTAGCTTACACATCATGCTCCCAAGTGCCCAGCTCCCAGAGGCTAGCTGAAGAAACACAAATGGAGCACTCCCTACGCTGATCAGTAAGTCTGCACAGGCCATGGAAACCACAAAGTAATTGGTGGTAGACTGAGTCCGCCTGCTCCTGTGGATCACCAGGCAAACCAGGGAGTTTCCAAAGATGGAGAATAGCCATAAGGCTCCAAAAAGCAGGCTGGCTGCTATGATCTCTCCTTGCATCAACTCATACGGTGAGGCTGTACCATTTTTCTCAAGCCCGTGTTCCTTGGGTAAAGCAATCATTTCATTGCTTGCCAGAGGGCTAGAGGTTTCTTCATGGTGGCGGTTCTGCGGCAGCAGCCCTGAAGTTGGGGTAAGAAGGAGAGCAGCGTTGGTATCCATGGGCAAGCAACATATTCAGCCTTTGCTTCCAAGGGCTGCATGGAGAGAGAAGTACAAGTGTTAGTCTGAATGGGGTGGGGGAAAGCACTCTTAGTAAAGAACAATATATTTTGCCTTTAAATATATACTGGATTAATCCCAGCCAATAATTAATCCTAGCTGAGTCCACTGCCCTAATCCTATTAAGCACCAGTTCTCAAAAGGTGTGGAGCACCATCCTGGATGGCAAAGGTGGAGGGAAGATTCAAGGACAATCAAAGAAACATTTAAACATTTCAGGGTACTATAGTATAGTATCAAAATATTTTTATTTATTTGCAGAATATGGATAGATATCTTTTCAAAAAGAGAGCAAGAACATCAAGTGATACTGAGGACAATCTTAGTTGTAACCAGAAGCGCCGTTTGCTGGAGAGGACACATTTATAATTATATTTAGAGAATGATTCTTGTTCTTATATAGCTACATTGTTTTTTGGGTGTCCCATGATCACCTTATAAAGTAGTTGTGTTCTATATTATAAATCAAGCACTGTTTATCAATTAAAAATTTGGTGTGGTATGAGAAAATTTTTGTTCTGAAAGTTCGGCCCTGTGAAAAAAGTTTGAGAGCCACTGACTTCAAGCTACAACAAAGGAGATTAAACATCAGGAAGAACTTTCTGATGGTAAGAGCTGTTTGACAGTGGACGTTCTACTTCCTTGGAGGTGTCTAAGAGGCTGGGTGGCCATCTATCATGAATGCTTTAGCTGAGATTCCTGCATTGCAGGGAGTTGGACTGGGTGACCCTCAGGGTCCCTTCCAAATCTACAATTCTATGAGTCTTTCTGTTTTATTTACACTTTTAAGCAATGCAAGTGGTGTGTAGCCCATCCCATTTGCTGCTTGAGGCAAAACTGAAAGTGGAGCTGCTGCTGCTGCTGCTGCTGAGGCCCCTTGCTCTGCTGCCACCATGTGCCCTGCTGCACCCACCACTCAGGGAGCACTGATTGGAGGCAAGATCATGCTGGTTTTTGGTGACATTGGCATGCCCTTGTCCAAAATGGTGCTGCTAACGGTTGCATTTCTCTACTGGTGGGTCTGCTGCCTGGGATGGTTTTGCTGCCTGAAGCAGTGCTCTCACTGTGCCCAATGGCCAAGCCGGCTCTGCTTCTTACAGACTGTGGCCTCCCTTCTGGATACTGCATCCCACTCCAGGTTCAAATCTCTCTGGCAAAAATCTTCAGAATAAAACTGTTAAGTTCCTCTCTAAACACATCCCTATATATAGATATTCTACATACAGGTATCCCAAGGGTGCAATCCTATATCCACCTACTTTGGAGCAAACTCCATTGGCCTCAGTGGGACTTAATTCTGAGTCATTATGCAAAGGATCATGATGCAAAGCTACCTGCATCACTAT